AGAGGATAGTGGATATTGGTTAAAAGCTGTATGTAGGAGCGTAATTAGTTTTAGTTTTGATGAGTTTAAGGCAGAGAGTTTTGCTGTGATAATCAAGATTTGACACATTGACAACACATTTTGCAAGGATGTTGTTATTTTGGAGCATTGCGATCATATAAATGTGGCATATTTATCTCCATATGTACAATGTTGTTCTTTACATTTGGGGTTATTTTGTTGGTAAGTATAGGGTTCTAAATTATTTGGCAGATGTTTTACTGTCGGTGAGATTTTTAAAGAGGTAAAAAGAGAGAGAATTGAGATGAAGATGGATAGAGGGAAGGAGAAAAAAAGGAGAAGTGTGTGGTGTGTGAAGTGTGACAGTTTTCAGAGACGAGGCGTCAGGCTGTTACAGTGCTAACAAGCTACAGATGAGCTGAAATCTGTTAAGTATTAGCTTGCCTCCACCACCTTTCTGTGTGTGTGTGTGTGTGTGTGTGTGTGTGTGTGTGTGTGTGTGTGTATGTATGTGTATGTGTGTGTTTGCATGTGTGTGTTTTATGTGTACTGTATCTTCAGTTTGGGTGGATTGGGAACAGGGAGAGGAGATAGTGGCTTAAGGAATGGAGTAGGAGCTGCATCACTGACAGGTCTCCTATACTCCTCTCTGTCAAAACACAGAGGTGAGAGCAGAGCAACAGATCTCTACCTCATAGTCGGCTGTCTCGGGCTTCAACACTCACTCCACACTGAAACCTCAGCTCCTACAGACCAGTGGAAAACACTGAACCCCTAAATATATTTACAGGTAGGCTCCTCCAGGTCTGCTGTTTTTCTTTATTTTGACTATTTTCTACATTGTAGAATAATAGTGGAGACATCAAAACTATGAAATAACACATATGGAATCATGTAGTAACCAAAAAAGTGTTAAACAAATCAAAATATATTTGAGATTTGAGATTATTCAAAGTAGCCACCCTTTGCCTTGATGACAGCGTTGCACACTCTTGGTATTCTCTCAACCAGCTGGAATGCATTTCAATTAACAGGTGTGCCTTGTTAAAAGTTAATTTGTGGAATTTATTTCCTTCTTAATGCATTTGAGCCAATCAGTTGTGTTGTGACAAGGTAGAGGTGGTATACAGAAGATAGCTCTATTTGGTAAAACACCAAGTCCATATTATGGCAAGAACAGCTCAAAAAAGCAAAGAGAAACGACAGTCCATCTTTACTTGAAGACATGAAGGTCAGTCAAGCCTGAAAATTTCAAGAACTTTCAAAGTTTCTTCAAGTGCAGTCGCAAAAAACATCAAGCGAAATGATGAAACTGACTCTCATGAGGACCGCCACAGGAAAGGAAGACCCAGAATTACCTCTGCTGCAGAGGATAAGTTCATTAGAGTTAACTGCACCTCAGATTGCAGCCCAAAGAAATGCTTCACAGAGTTCAAGTAACAGACACATCTCAACATCAACTGTTCAGAGGAGACTGCATGAATCAGGCCTTCATGATCGAATTGCTGCAAAGAAACCACTACTAAAGGACACCAATAAGAAGAAGAGACTTGCTTGTGCCAAGAAACATGAGCAACGGACATTAGACCGGTGGAAATCTGTCCTTTGGTATGATGAGTCCGAATTTGAGGTTTTTGGTTCCAACCGCTGTGTCTTTGTGAGATGCAGAGTAGGTGAACGGATGATCTCTGCATGTGTTGTTCCCACCCTGAAGCATGGAGGAGGAGGTGTGATGGTGAGGGGGTGCTTTGCTGGTGACATTGTCAGTGATTTATTTAGAATTCAAGGCACACTTAACCAGCATGGCTACCACAGCATTCTGCAGCGATACGCCATCTGGTTTATGCTTAGTGGGACTATCATTTGTTTTCCAACAGGACAATGACCCAAAACCCAGCTCCAGGCTGTGCAAGGGCTATTTGACCAAGAATGAGAGTGATTGAGTGCTGCATCAGATGACCTGGCCTCCACAATCACCCGACCTCAACCCAATTGAGATGGTTTGGGATGAGTTGGACCGCAGAGTGAAGGAAAAGCAGCCAACAAGTGCTCAGCATATGTGGGAACTCCTTCAAGACTGTTGGAAAAGCATTACTCATGAAGGTGGTTGAGAGAATGCCAAGAGTGTGCAAAGCTGTCATCAAGGCAAAGGGTGTCTACTTTGAAGAATCTACGAAATAAAATATGTTCTGATTTGTTTAATACTTTTTTGGTTACTACATGATTCCATATGTGTTATTTCATAGTTTTGATGTCTCCACTATTATTCTACAATGTAGAAAATAGTAAAAATAAAGAAAAACCCTTGAATGAGTAGGTGTGTCCAAACTTTTGACTGGTACTGTATATGTCACCTGTTGCCTTGTGGCCCTCATCTGTACTTATCACTGTGCTTCCCTGTCTGTTAGGAATGTATGTCAGTACCCCCCCCCCCCCCCCCTCTCTCTCTGTTTATGCTCATATCTGCAGGACCTGTCTTTGTGTCTGTGAGTCATATCTCCAGTCTGTCCGTCCATCCGTATGTCTGTCTGCTGAGTCAGTAGTACCTCAGGGTGTGTTCTGTTGAGAGGTAGGCTTAGTCTTTGAAATGGAAAAGGCTTCAAATAACCTTTATAAGGTCTTAATAACAGGCAGCCCTATTGTTTGGCTTCTGCCATAGCGATTCTTTCATCGGATTCCAATTAAAGGGGTTGGGTCTGACTCGTGCCACCTCAGCTTTTCCATTCATATACATTTTATTCCCAATTAGGAAATATATGAGAGGAAAAACACTGTAAAGTGTAAAGTGTTCTCCACTGCTTTCCACAGTTAATTATGGTGATGAGGGCTAACTGTTTGGGTGTTTGTGTGTGTGTATGTGTGTTTAGTTTGCTGTTAAAAAGCTGTAATAGTGTTTATGTACTTGGGTAGACCAACGCATAGAGGTTGTATGATATCCATCAGTGTATATGAGGTTTATTGTTCTCTCTGCATATCTGTCATCACTCCACTGTCACCTTCTACACTTCTCTACTGAGTCTCTCTACATTTCAGCACACACACACACACACACACACACACACACACACACGCTGAGAGATGAGCCCCTGTCACTCAGCACTCCTCAGTGTTCGCTGAGTGATGCACAAGGGCCACTCTGTACCCAGCGACACCATGTCCATCAGTGGGGCCCTACAGAGGTCTGGGCTTTAGGTCCCCACGAGATACACAGAGAGAGACACACACACACCCCACACACAGTTTAGGCATTAACTCCGAAATGTTAAGGTTTGGTATTAACTCCGAATGGTTAAGGTAAGGGTTAAGGTTTGGGATAGGCTTAAAACAAAATTCTAAAAAACAACTTTCTATCGCTGGATTTGAACATGCAACCTTTGGTACCAGAGGTAGATGCTTACGGCCATCTCTGTCCAAAACGCCCTAGCAAAACAGAAACCTGCTTGACGGTAACAGCGCTCACTGTTGCCCGTAGTGGCCGGTTTCCACGTCATCTCCCAATGTCCTCAGACATGGATGGACGTCGAACATTGACTTGTATCACGGGTGACCTGGCTGCACACACAGAGGCAAACACACATACACACACACACACACACACACACACACACACACACTCACACACACACACACACACACACACACACACACACACACACACACACACACACACACTGAGTAAAGGGGCTGAATACTTATGTAAATGTGATATTTCCATTTTTTAAATACATTTGCAAACATTTCTAAAAAACTGTTTTAGTTTTGTCATTATGGGGTATTGTGTGTAGATTGATGAGGATAAAAAATATAAATATTTGTTTAGAATAAGGCTGTAACGTAGGGTTTGAATACTTTCAGAATGTACTGTAAGTGACTATGGCCAGTGATGGTGTCTTGTGAAAGACTCACGTATGGTGTTGTGTCAATTGAGAACAGTTGACAAAGTTCTTAATTTTCTGCACAGGGAACCTCAGCTGTTCCAGAGCTAGCATACTTGTTAATAGACACAATAATAACACCTATGGAGTTGTAACAATATAATATGGCTATTTATCTAGAATTAAAAACCCTGTATGGTTCTACAAAGAACCTTCCATAAAGGTTCTATAAAGAACCATATAAAAAGGGTTCTATATAGCCCCAAAAAGGGTTGTAACCGTAGCGGAATCCTTTTTTTGGTGCTATATAGAAACATTTTTTTATGGTTATTTATAAAACCTTCAAAACAAGGTTCCATATAGCACCAAAAAGGGTCCCGCTATGGTTACAAGCCAAATAACCCTTATTTGGCACTATATAGAACCATTTGTTTTTAGTGTGTGTGTTTTTGTGTGTGCGCGTGCGAGCGTGCATGCGTATGTGTTGATGGGTGGTGTACCTCAGAGTAGCGTGTTCACTGTCAAGCCCGTCAGTCCATCATTCCGGATAATTCTTTCTGCAACTAATGTGTATTACAGGTGTAGGACATCCTATAAACATACAGTAGTACAGTACCAGTCAAAAGTTTGGACACACCTACTCATCCAAGGGTTTTTCTTTATTTTTACTATTTTCTACATTGTAGAATAATAGTGAAGACATCAAAACTATGAAATAACACATATGGAATCATGTAGTAACCAAAAAAGTGTTAAACAAATCAAAATATATTTTATATTTGAGATTCTTCAAAGTAGCCACCCTTTGCCTTGATGACAGCTTTGCACACTCTTGGCATTCTCTCAACCAGCTTCATGAGGTAGTCACCTGGAATGTATTTCAATTAACAGGTGTGCCTTGTTAAAAGTTAATTTGTGGAATTTATTTCCTTCTTAATGCGTTTGAGCCAATCAGTTGTGACAAGGTAGGAGTGGTATACAGAAGATAGTGGCAGAGACCTCCTTGACCCACTGCATATTGATGCTTTTATTAGTTTTCCACTGGGTTTATTTATCTTCACATGCTAACTCTGTTCTTCTCTTTATCCATCCATCAAACCTCCTTCCCCTCCTCCTCCCACAGACCTTGTGGCCACCAACCGGTCCTCTATCTTCAGTGGTCACCACGGTCAGCTTTCTCTGAGCACTGTGTTTCTGGATGAGTACCATGACCGCCTGTTCCTGGGGGGCAAAGACGTCCTCTACTCCCTGAGACTGGACCATACCAACCTTGACACCAAAGAGGTGAGTTCACGTTCCATGTAATACATGCTGTACATATAGGCCAATGGGGGAGTTTACATCCCTCCCCATACTTGCCAACTCATGTACAATAAACCCCACATAAATAATTATTCCTAAACTCCCCCATTGAGTTAGTGTTGTTGTTTGAGCTGCTGACTAGGGTGGCATGAACATGTACCTCTCACCAGGACTCCATTTTACATTTCCATTATAGTCATTTAGCAGATGCTCTTATCCAGAGCGATTTACAATAGTGAGTGCATACATCATACTTTTTTGTACTGGTCCCCTGTGGGAATCAAACCCACAACCCTGGCATTGCAAGTGCCATGCTCTACCAACTGGGCCACACAGGACCACCAACATTAAATGTCTCTAAATCATCACTCCACTCTTTAATCCAGCTCCAATTTTGGAATTCCTATCTTAATCCCTGTAGAGATTAACACGTTAACAGTTTGAGTTGGTTGGAATCACTGCTTGAGCGGTGTGTGTGTGTGTGTGTCTGTCTGTGTGTCTCAGTCTGTATGTGTGTCTCTGTCTGTCTGTCTGTCTGTCTGTGTGTCTCAGTCTGTATGTGTGTCTCTGTCTGTCTGTCTGTCTGTCTGTCTGTCTGTCTGTCTGTCTGTCTGTCTGTCCTTGTTCGCCCTGTGATATACAGCCTCCTGTGTGTGTCACACTTATCCTGGTCTAGAGTTTACGCTAAGCTGGTCTCTTCTTATCAGGTCTCTGTGGTTTCCCACCTGATAGGTTAGCAGAGCGAGAAAGAGAGATTGAGAAAGAGGGAAGGAGGGAGGGAGGGCTTAACCCTGGCCCCAGGTTTCTCCAGCCTCCTCCTCTACCTCACATATCATTCCCTCTAGAATTCTTAAATCCCCCTCTATCTCTCCTTCACTCTAGTCCTCCATCATAGACTAAGCCCTCTGCTCCTCCCTCCTCACCTCTGTATATGAGACTTAACCTGCTATGTACCAGTTTACTGTTAGACTCCATTTAGAAAGTCAACTCACTATTGGTAATGTCTATACTTGTAGGCTCAGTCTGGCTGGGCCCACTCGTCTTTGACAGGGAGAAACAAACATGGATGAGTTGGAGAGATGAGGTCACAGAGACCAGGTTGGCCTGTAAACTGCCCACAGCTCACTGCCCACAGCCCACTGCCCAACGCCACTTCTTAAGCGCTTCAACAGCCACTCTGGCATATCATATTTGGGAAGTGTTTGAACTGTTTCAATACAGTCTTAATGGTAATGACAATGGCAGAAATAAAACAAACACATGCCTATGTAAATGTGCCACATGAACATGTAAATATTTTACTCTAAACAGAAATGATTGCAGCTCGATATAGACCTTTAGTTTTTGAGGAGTGTTTGTGTGTAAAACCAAACTTGTTTTATGTTGCCATAAATGTGATCGGTTCTTAACAAAGGCTCTTTCATTGGTTCCAGTGCCTTTGGCTTTCATATTCTTTAAGAGCCTGGCTTTGTATCTATTATAGGTCTGTCTTGACTGACAGTGACTTTTGGGTGTGAACTGTTGCTATAAAGGTTGGGTGTAACCTTCTGTGGTAAAATGGGCTAGTCAATGAGGTTGCCAGATGTGTTCCCACTTTCCAGCACCTAAGGGCACCTGCCCTCTGGACATGGACTGGGTCAAGACCTTATCTGGCAACATTTCTCCCTAGTTTCACTCATACTAGAAACTAGATAAGAGTAGACTTAAACATACGGTCTGTGTGTAGTTTAGTATGTTATGGATCTACTTGATGCATGCCACAGTAAGGTCCTTGATTGGCCAGCTCATGCAAGGGTTTGTCAGGGCTTGTTATGATTGGCTGGTGCCTGGGCATTCCGGCCAATGGATGACACTACTGAGCCAAACAGGAAAAGGAAGTTAATCAGTGCGCTGACAACCAAGCTCTGGTAAGAAGTTGCCCTTAGGCACAGAAACTCAAGCTGACCAAATCAGTGTCTAGACCTATGGGAAACTTTATCCTGCAATTGGTGATGATGACTAACATGTCAGGATGGTTAAAGAGAGGGAAGGAGTTATAGAGACAAATAGAACATGATGACCACAGTACTTCCTATGTGAATCCAGGCAAGGAATAGTAGTATTATAGTGCAGATTGGCTGATTCTGTGGTTCAGACCATAAAAGGGCATGTTTCAGGCAGGCAGGCAGGCAATGATTAATAGTGGTTCAGTTCCAGACAGGCTCGATAAAGCAATAAAGTGTGATATAGAGGCAGCCCTAATGCTTTCTGTAACATTCACTTATGATATGACAAGCTGTGTTACAGAAAAGCACATGTATCAGGCTCTGCTTTCTCTCTTAAGATGAATGGCCATGCATGCACAATTATGTAGGATCACGCATGTACATGCACGTAAGCACAGACACAAATATGCATGGACACAATTGCAGATGGACACGCATGCACATTGTCACAAAAAGTTACGGTTTCCTTGCTTTGTTGGTATTCTGTATATGCAAAATAAGCTTTTACATGAGACACACAAAAGAGCCATTGTTTCAGATAGCCTTCTGTGAGTCAGTAATACACAACAGAGTATCTGATGGTGCCAATGGCCAAAGAGGGGCTTTCCAAATACAGTCTTGGATATTGATGATATAGAACACACCGTCAATTAATCCCACGGCCTAAATGACTAGACTAGGATTATAGTTTCATGTTAGACCCACCCACATCAATTAGCACTGATTAGCCCATTGATGATTGTGTGGGAGATACGGACTTGGTTTCATATGTGATCTAGTAGGTCTTAATTGTATAAACTGTGGCCAAAAACGCTCTCATGATCTAATTGCCTGTTGTTATATTGTGGTTTAGGCAGTGTACAATGTTGCAATGTTATGAGGTGATTTATCTCGCCGAGATCTAGGCCAGAATGCGTTAGGATGAGCAGTGAGCCTAGCGGTAGGACGAACGAAGTAGAGCTCGCTCGATCGCAGCATATCTCTTGTAGCTCTGAGCGTATCTGCTCGCTCGTTCTCTCTGCTATCAGTCGAATCGACGATCGATCTCTCTCTCTCTCGTCTCGATCGTCTCTCTCTCTCTCTCTCTATCTCCTACTATCCTCGTCTCTTCTCTCTCTATCTATCTCTCTCTCTCTCTCTCTCTCTCATCTCTCTCTCTCTCCTCTCGCGCTCGCGCTCGTTGTAGAGCTACTGGCCTCCATTGCCTGGTAACAGAGATGAATGTGTCCAGAGAGGGAAGGATTCTCAGGTGAGTGACAGCTCAGTCAGACCAGTCCACCTCTGAGGTGGCCTCTCTACTTCCTATTTACTCTAATAATGTCACATCCATGGTTTCCACCTGCCTAGCCTATCCACCTGCTCTATCATCCACTCTAGACATCAACGTTCTAGTCACCTTACTGACTGTACTGTACATTCTACAACGCCACATCTGGATCATGTTATCAGGAATCTAACCAGCAAATCCATGTCGACGGTTGGCTTACTGTGTCAACACTCCCTTTCCCTATATCCTACAGGCTACAACCATAGTCCCATGCACCATCCCACCATCCCCTTATCTATCCATTCCTCCATTCCTGGGTACAGTGAAGTTGTTTAACAGCCCAGTGAATGAGATAGGGAGTCTTTCCTTATCTAGTAATAGCCCCTCCCACATGGCTGAGGTGTCCAGAGCCGGGTTCCAACACAATAAACACCAGTAATGACATCTTAAGAAGACTGCCCATATAGAAACTGCCCCTCACTCCCCAGTCAAATACTCTAAAGACATTTGCGCTTCCATGTTTAATATCTTCTGTCCCCTAAGCCTTGGCTAATGACAGAAAGTGAAACCGCCCTGGTCTGGGTTAGGTGGTTTGGTCTGTAAAACAGGACTAATCTGTCTCTCTGGATGTGGAGGGGGGTTGGAGGGAAGTTTAAGACGACCCATTGGGCGTCAACACTGGCCCTATAGGTAACTGTGTCGTTTGAAGTGGCAGGTGAGGAGGGGTTTCTAATATCAGGAGTTATTACGCGTTTCCTCCTCCCGTATGAGGTATGTGATCCTGTGTTCAGGAGCAGTCGTAATGCGTTAAAGTTGGGTCCACGGTAACTCAATCTAACCTCTGCCGAGGGAACCGTGGGGTGTGTGTGTGTTTAAGCTCCCCTCCATAGCCCTGGAGACACACCCATGCGCCCCAGCAGCACTCACTTACCATCAGACTCATTCAGACCACAGTTCAAGTGGACTTGGTTCTTGTCCTCTCCATCATTCTTTTAAACAGACAGAGGCCTGGACTGAATCTGTTGTTGGAGATACATTGTTTCTGAGAGGAAGAGGGGCCCATGTGTCTAGTCTAGTGTCTAGCATCACTCTCCCTGTGGACAGCAGAGGTGAGTGTGTTCTCCTTATTAGGGAGTGTGACCATGGTAATGACTCCAGGCCCATTGGACCCATGAGGCCACACAGTGTGTGGGTGTGTGTGGTTGTTACCATGCCTTCGAGTGTGTGTACGCCATAGCCTCACTATACAGCCTTAGATGGGTTAACAATGACTGGGCTGGGAGGTGGAGGTGAAGGCAGAGAGCAGTGTGTGTGTGTGTGTGTGTGTCTGCTGGGAGTGTGTGTACAGGGTCACATCTGTAACACTTCACACCTCTAGTTCCTCCCAAATGGAATATAACCCGCCACCTCCACCCCAGTGCCCTCTGAGGCTAGGGACTCCATGAGAAAGGCTTTCAGGTGCTGTATGTATTGTTTACCCTCTGTAAGATGGGGTTGTCCCCTGTTTACCCTCTGTAAGATGGGGTGGTCCCCTGTTTACTCTCTGTAAGATGGGGTGGTCCCCTATTTACCCTCTGTAAGATGGGGTGGTCCACTGTTTACCCTCTGTAAGATGGGGTGGTCCCCTGTTTACCCTCTTTAAGATGGGGTGGTCCCCTGTTTACCCTCTGTAAGATGGGGTGGTCCCCTGTTTACCCTCTGTAAGATGGGGTGGTCCCCTGTTTACCCTCTGTAAAATGGGGTGGTCCCCTGTTTACCCTCTGTAAGATGGGGTGGTACCCTGTTTACCCTCTGTAAGATGGGGTGGTCCCCTGTTTTGAGGACTGTATGCTCAGTGGACAGGCCCAGTTGTGTCGTTGTCTCTGGGCTCAGTGAAGGGTCATTGGTGCCCTCTCTGCCACTATTCTCTACCTGACAAAGACTCAGACACACTCACCCAGTGCTCTGTTTGCACCTTTCCCCGCTGCTAGACAAAACCCCAGGCAATGTCAAAAGGTGAAAAGTCAAGTCAAGGCATAGGTGTTGGTTTGATTGGTTGAAATGGCCTTGATTGTGTTTTTGGCAGAGAGAAAGGCTTGGTTCACAACCCTTACTGTGGACTGAAGTTAATCCAGTGAGTACAGGGACATGTGAGTGTGTACAGAGTCAGAGCAGGTCTTTCCGGCACAGATGGACACTTAAATGTGTGTGTGTGTTCTGAATGTGCCCTGACTGCCTATGCCAGCTGGCGGATGAGCGAGGACAGAGCATTCCCTTCCTCCCTCTCTAACTTTGTTAGGCAGTGTTGGACAAGGAGACCTCCCATTAAACAAACACCATGGAGCGAAGCTGGCGTTGGCACTGACTGGACAGCCCGGCTGGTTTTAAAGCCGGACCGGGTTGTGTCTCTATTGTTGCACCCATTCAGCGTTCTGCTACAGTGACCTCTCAATGGAAAAACACTGCAAGGCTACTGGGCTGGTAGTCGCAATCTGTCTCCTTCCCTTATACAGAATGTGTCTGTGTCTTGGAGCTGTAGGATGTGCATACTACTTCCTTCCCTTGACTGTGGGAGGATGAGGATGGGGATGGGAGATAGAGGTGTGTGTGTGAGGGTCTTTTATTGACTGGCGAATGGAGGGGAACCGGCTATTTAATGGGGCTGTGTGACCCCGCTGGTTGACCCCTGGCTAACACCTAACGTGTTTGCTTTATGATGGCCTTCCTCACATGTCGCAACCCCATGACCCCTGATTTCATTACCCCCAGCAGATATAGACGTCCCATAGCCCCTCCTTCAGCAGGAACCAGACAATCACAAAACAGGGACTACAGGGCTATGGGTTCGGGAGAGTGGATGGAGGAGAGATTTGAATGTTTAAAGAATTGTAGGAGACTTTTGAAGAACTTTGTGAGACTCTGAGACTTCATGCATCAGGGAGCTGGAAATTCAGCTTGGTGCCATTTGGCACAGTGCCCTGGCATTATCCAGCACTGCCAGAGGAAACATTCCTCTATGTTCATTAATGGGTACAGTCTTACCCATGGGTACAAACATGGAAGTGACTTGCTTTAAAAAGTTAATCATCTACAAACCAAAACTCTACTGGCATCCCAGTGCTCTGATTCCAAGGACAGATCTGCAGACTGACACTGTGGAATGCCCTAGGCTTATGTCTAAGCTTACTGATATGAACAACTACTGCTGGGCTAAAGCAACCAAACTTTAGGAGTTGAGCACGTCTTATAGTGCATTTGACGCCTACGCTTGTGTCTACCACTTGTGTGGGAGCTGGTGTGGTTGTGGGATTGTGTTGTGTGTCTGTCTCAGTTATCAATGTTCACATCCGTAGTCTGCTCATCTGGTCCTCTCCTCAGCACACTGCTTCTATGCTCTCTCTTCTCCATGTAGCTCCAGCTGTGTGGACCACAGAGACTTGGACAGACTGAAGCATCCTGCTTTTTCCAAAACAGCTTTGAAATGCCTCTTTGTGTGGGTGTGTGTGCGTGTGTGCTTGCATCCATGTGTGTCTTCCAGTGTGTGTGCACAGCTGTACGCCCGTTTGAGGGTTTGTGTGTGTCTTTCTCTCTATGCGCGCCTGTGTGTGAATGTGTGTGTGTTTCCCTCAGCGGTGGTCTTGATTTCCTGTTAGTGTTAACAGCACTGATTGCTCTCCAGTGAATGCATGAGGTTTACACTGGAACAAGATGGCTCCCTCCCTCAGTATAAACACCTGAGGCCTGATGGTATTACCCTACCACCCCGCCTGTCTGTTACACACTCAATATTATGGAAAAATACATTACAAAGGATCTGTCACTCGTCTAACTCATTAGTAAACAGTTTATACACTGAGTGTACAAAACATTAGGAACACAGAGGAGACAGGGGCAGGAGGCTGCTTCTCTCCACTGGGACCAGTCTAGAATCTATTTCTACAGACCACCTCACCTCTGCCTATCCTCTGTACTCTTCCAGAGCAGGAGAGGAGAGGAGAGAGGGATGGTGGGAGGTGAAGAGAGGTTGGGTAATTAAAACCTGAGAGGAGTAAAGAGGAGTGTGTGTGTGTGTCTGTGTACGTGAGGAGTGTGTGTGCGTGCCTGTGTGCAGCTACAGTCTGGACAGGAAGGAGAGCTGAGTCATGTTTGGCTGATAGATACAAAGCACACCTGGCTTCACTCCAAACCTCCAATATACTGTATAGTGGGTGTACAAAACATTAGGAACACCTTCCTAATATTGAGTTGCACCCCATTTTGCTCTCGATCAGCCTCAATTCGTTGGGGCATGGACTCTACAAGGTGTCGAAAGCGTTCCACAGGGATGCTGGCCCATGTTGACTCCAATGCTTCCACAGTTGTGTCAAGTTGGCTGGATGTCCTTTGGGTGCTGGACCATTCTTGATACAAACGGGAAACTGTTGAGCTTGAAAAACCCAGCAGCGTTGCAGTTCTTGACACACTCAAACCGGTGCGCCTGGCACCTTCTACCATACCCTGTTCAAAGGCACATTTTGTAACGTGTCTCCTCCCCTTCATCTACACTGATTGAAGTGGATTTAACAGGTGACATCAATAAGGGATCATAACTTTCACCTGGATTCACCTGGTCAGTCTATGTCATGTTCAGAATGTTTGTTACGCTCAATGTATAATATTAGTAGTCACACACACACACACACACAAACACAGTGGCTAAGTGGATGAGTTTGACCCTGTCACCCTAGGGCAGTGACACTCTTGGCTTGTTTCCTGTTGGTCACTGTGACACCACTCCTCAGCTTCTATTGTGATACTTCAAGAAAAGGATACATCTGTGCCCTGCTCTTCCTGAGGGCTCCAGGATTATATTCCTCTCTCATTCCTCTCTCATTCTGTCTCTAGATCTCTATCTTCCTTTTTCTCTCTTCTTTGGCTCTCTGTCTCCCCTCTCTTATTCTCTCCCTCGCTCTCTCTAGCTCTCCGTCTTTCTCCTTCTCTTCTGTCTGTTGCCTGATCCCTCCCTGTGGCCCTGTCTTTGGCTGTGGGAAAGATCTGGGAAGCCCAGCATTTGTTGAAGTTTATTGTTTTTAATTTTTTTAACTCTTGTTCTTGGCCCTTATTGCTAACATGTGGAATCAATGGGCTTTGTTAAGAAATATTTTTATTCTACACAAAATTGTCAGAAATTGGATGTTGTAATGTGTATTTTGATTTATTTAACCTGTGTGTGTGTGTTCACAGACGGAGTGTGCCAACTTTGTGCGCCTGCTGCAGCCCTATAACCGCACCCACCTGCTGGCCTGTGGTACGGGTGCCTTCCAGCCCATGTGTGCCTATGTGTACGTGGGCCACCGCGGAGAGGTAAGACCCCACTGCATTGCATTGCATCACACACACACACACACACACACACACACACACACACACACACACACACACACACACACACACACACACACACACACAGGCTCTGACAGATGAGTCACCCTGGTTTTGCTCTACATACTCTCTCCTTCAGCAGCCAGTAATCAGATGAGGCTGTCTGGTCTGTTAGAAAACTCTGTTCTTATGCTGATGTTACTCCCATTGACTCCCATTCATTTTGCTGCTTCAGTCTACTCACCTCATTGTAAAGCTGTAGTATTGTGATCATGGCAGCACCAACTACTCCCTATGGATTGTCTGTCTGTCTCCATTGTATAGTATTTGATACCTGATACTGTCTTATTGTGTCCAGTCTGTGAACACAGTGGTCTCTCTCTCTCTCTCTCTCTGAGACAGTGTATACAGAAAGAGGCAGCAGGCTGTGGCCATCAGAAACATTCAGTGCTCTGGCTCCAGGCTCAGAGCTCCAGGCTGAGGACACAGGGCCCAGGGTTGTGCTCCAGCATACAGCTGCCCAGCGGGGCCCTGCTGCCAGGCCCTCTGTAGAGGCCTGTATGTGGTGAAAACCCACAAAGCTGCACACAGTGCCCACGTGCCTCACCAGCAGGAGGGGGTCGGACTGGGCATGAGGAGGGGAGGCACTGGGCATGGAGGGTTGGTGAGGGTGCCAGCTATTAAAGTTGGGGGAAGGTGGTTGTGGAACCAACAAGGTGTGATACGAGACAGGGAGTGGAAGGGTGGTCTGTCTGTGTTGGTCATATTGGGGGTCTTAGTTTGTGTGTGCGTGTGTGTGTGTTGGTAGTTAGGATGGGGGCTGCTGCGTCAACTGTGGGGAGGGTTGTCTGTTCTGCCATGTTGGCCCTCTCTCTACATTCATCATCCTCTGTGTGAGTTGGGCCTATGTTTTATGACACTCCATAAAAAGCATTTAGGTCTTAGTTACTGCCTTAGCGCTGTGCTGCCTCTGACAAGAGTAGAGCAGCATAGTGTGTGTGTGTGTGTGTGTGCATGCTTGTGCGTATGTGTGTCTATGTCTCTCTGTGCCTGTGTGTGTTGGCAGATGGATACAGTGTATTAAGGTGTGAATTGACTGTGGGTCATGTTATATGTATATATGTTTAAGAGTAGGACCCCCCCTATCTCTAGTCTGAGCACTACTGAGGGGAGACGGAAGGCAGCTGACTGCACACCTGTCCTGGGGAGGCCTGGAACAGAGATGAAACACCCTGTCAAAGGTCATCCCACCCACAGCCCGGCCCAAAGGTTCATGATCCCGAGGGAAAGCAAACAGACGTGTGTTCCTAAATGAGTTAGTGACTGGTTAAATAAATGGAGGGTTGCCCGTGGCGCTGTCTGCCGTAGGGTGGTATGGACTCCCACCTTGGAGGACTGGCACTGGCGACACACACACTGCCCACGCAAGGAAAATAAACCCCAATAGTGGTGGCAACATCTAGAGGTTCCAGCCTCTTCCACACACAAACACACATATACACACACACACACACACACACACACACACACACACAGACCTGTTTGTTATCATAAGGACATCATGAGAGAGGGGGCACGGTCACAGTCAGGGTCACTTCTAGAAATAATGTATCTTTGTATTCATCTCGTTACCTTTCGCTTCTATCTCTCTATTGCTCTGTTTCTGTCTCTTTCCTGTTATGACTGTGGTGCTGGGTAATGTTAGGGATGGACAGAGAGAAGAGAGGACAGAGTGCATCTTTCTGAGGCTGTCTTGCCTTAGAGAGAGAAATGACAAGATCGTGAGAGAAGAAGCAAGCTGGAAAGGATGAGGGAAGGAGTTTGAAAAGGTTGTGGGCGCAGACAGAGGTGGATATCTGCTTAGAGAAAGAGAAGGAGAGAAGAAAGATAGAGGGATGGAGGATGGAAACCGACACATGGATCTGAGGAACAGAGAGAGAGCAGCTTAGCGTGTGTTTTGACGTTTTTTTATTACACTAATATAGCAGACAATACAAACTGAAATCCATGAGCATATAAAATATGAATGGATAAGAGAAACAACAAGAAACATTTTTTATCAATAAAGTCCTGCGGTCTTAAAACTAGCGTGTGTGTGGCAGTGGAGGCTCCTGGGGGAGGACGGCTCATAATGGAAACCATATGTTTAAGATGGTTTTGATACCATTCCATCTATTCCGCTCCAGCCATTACCACGAGCCCGTCCTCCCCAATTAAGGTCCCACCAACCTCCTGTGGTGTGTGTGTGTGTGTGCCAGTAGTCATGTCAGTGGCCCAGGCTTGGTAGTGGGGTTGCTGGGCTGTTTGGAAAGGCTGACTAGAGAACAACAGCAGACACAACTAGCGCCTGTCCCCTTGCTCAACACCGAGTTACCACAGAGAGACTGGATCTGAGAGAGACTAGCCAGGAGGAGAAAGAGAGGAAGGGAGGGAGTAGAGAGAGAAAGGGGGGTGGGGAGGGAGAGATGGATGAAGTAGAGAGAGAGAGTGAGGGAGGGAATGAGACAGAGGGAGAGAGAGAGAGAGATAGGGGGGATTGAGAGGCAAAAGAGGAGTGGTAAAGTAAAGAGAGTAGAGGGGTGCTGTAAGGATGACAAATGAGGTATAGCCAAAACATGTATTTTTTTTAGAGGATTAAAAGTAAAAGAGTTTTGAGAGCTGATTATGTGAAAAAGATGAGTGAGATTGAACTATGGAGATTCACAAAGCAGAGGCGAGGTATAAGTGGAATTCATGCTGATTGATCTGATCATGATAACTAATGTTACTAGGTTGATTTTATAAAAAGGAGGTTAGTGTCTGTGCGTGTGCATGTGTGTATACGGTACTGTGTACTTTATGTGTGCAGTCCAGAGAGTTACACAGCCCAGGGCGAGGTAACATCTGGTGTGTCTGCTGCTATTTAGCTCACTGAGAGAGAAACAGCAGAGACCCTGTACTGCTTGCCAAAAGGGCCTGTCCTTTCTCTCTGCGGAGAGAGAGAGAGAGAGAGAGAGAGAGAGAGAGAGAGAGAGAGAGAGAGAGAGAGAGAGAATCACTGTGGCCTTTGCTTACCCACTAGATATCCTGGGACCGTCCCATATATAGCACTGGTTACTGTACTGATGATAGTGACCTTTTCTAGAGGTCAAAGCCCTGACATACAGCAGAAATCATAGAAAGAGACATTGTGGAAATCAAAGCCAACCTTGAACCTTACTTCCTCCTCTCTCCTCACTGAGAGTGCCACTATAGCTGGAAAGGTCCTAGTTCCACTGGGAATCCCTGTGTGATTCAAAGCCAAGGAAAGGGCACTTACTGGAAAGGGCCATAAAATCAAGGAAATACGGCGTTATTTTAATCATACTGGTGGGCGTAGCGTTATTAAGTGTATTTTTATTCTACTGACTTCCATGTCATGGTGTCCCACGTGGCAGTGTGTACAGTCATTCAACCAGAGAACCACAATGCCTCATTGTCTGCACTGGGAATTGATACCCAAATGTGGAGACTGTGGATAGTTCACAGAGAGGACATTCATCTGGGTCCTGATTCACTTGGAGGTCATCCTGTCTGTCTTTCCACACTCACTGTGTTACCCCCTGTTACTCCTGTCCCTCACTGATGACATCACTACAGTCAAAGAGTCACTACTGTATTAGGGCATAGAGATACATTCAATTAAGTGTTCTATTTAATTAAATGTATTAGAGTGACGTACTGTATGTAAATGTAAAAATATTTACAATGAGTTCAGTAATTGCCCTTAGGGCGCATAAAGGAAAACATTCAAATCATACGATTTTCTTAAGAATTACACTGTACGCTGTAATTGAACTTACAACCCTGTACATGTGACTATTACACTTCTTATCTAATATTTTAATGATATGTGATATCTGGATTTTTCCTAACCCCATGTTTTCTCTTTCTTTCCCCTGAACAGCATGTTTTCACCATAGACCCTACCAATGTGGGGAACGGACGGGGGAAGGTTCCTCACGACCCCAGCCTCCCCTTCGCTAGCACCTTAATTGGTAGGTCCTGTACTCTGTGTCTTTATTAGTCCAGTATGTTTATCTCAACACGACAGCCGGAAGAGGTTTCTGATTCTGTGAGATACACTGTAGGTGTTCCTCTCTTGTTGTCATTCGACATTTAGCTTGTGAAATAAGTCATATTTATTGCATCAACATGCAACTCTAGAAGTCGCAGTGTTGAAAAGTGTGTGTTTGTGTGTGTGTGTGTCTTCCCACCCCGCCCCGGTCCACTCTGTGGCTGAACTCCAAAACTCCAGGATCTGTCCCAAAATGCATTGGATCTGGCAGGCAGACACACAGGGACGGCCAAAGGCCCAGCAGTCTATCCTTGAGCACACTGATACACGAAAGAAGATTGGACTGATTCACTGATATACATACAAACAACCCTACACAAAAAAAGTAATATTCCACTAATGCTCACTCACATACACTGTATAAAGCTAACATGGAAAAACATAATAAACATAGACCCACACACACATAGATACAAATTGCGTACATGTTCTAGACCTTTGAATCACACATATCTATTATCCTCTATTCATTCTGAATCATGTTTAAGGAGTAACTGCTGTCAAATGTTTAATTTCAGAGGTCGCAATGAATAGATTAATCAGACAGATGGAGAGAGAGAGAAAGAGAGAGATGGGATGAAAAAAATAGAGAATAGAGAGAAAGAGAAGGCGAGACGGAGAGGGAGAAAAAGATAGAGAGAGAGGGGGAAGACAGAGCGTATTTGTCATGGCCAGTGTGTCATATCAGTAAAGAGAGCTCTTTGGCAGGAGGAGGACATGGAGGTCAGTAACCCTTATTCCCTCTCCTCTCCGTCTCCTCACACACACGCATCCCTCTGACGTATCTCTGCATCTCCCCTATCTCTGGGATCAGCTATTAAAATAAGCCATTGCCTTTCAGTGGGGCCAGAGTCTGCATTAATCACACTGCTCAAAATGCTGTGGAACTAGGCCAGACTGATGATCTGTTTGTGCATACTCAGGGGTGTAAAGCAACCCCACTGTCTCTGTACAGCTAACTGCTATTATAATTCAGCTCCTTGGTTGGGATACAATCATTGGAGCCATAGACACACACACACACACACACACACACGTGTGCGCACACACAGGCGCGCCAATCCTTAGTCAGTGAAGTGATGACAGGGCTGAGGGAGCTATGACACGGCCACTTTAGATGAAGATAGTCTTGTTGGGAGCATGACCTGAGCTCTTTGTCATGTAGAGCAGGGATAGCATTTAATCTGATACTAGTTCAGTTGGAAATGCTGTCTGATTCAATGGGAGATACTGTTACAGACAGTTGATCTGATCTCTGTCCAGTCTATGAACCTTCTCTAGGGATGCAGGACATGTGGTTTTGGGTGTTCAGGAGGGGGTAGTGTTTCAGAATTGGTCTACTATATTTGCAAATGTTGCATCCCTTTCATCATTACATTCTTCCCCTGCCATCCCTTATTTCCTCATCCTCATACTGTCTCCCTATCCCCTCCTCTTTCCTTCTCTCCCTCCATCCTTTCCTCTGTATGTTCCCAGGTGGGGAGCTGTACACAGGGCTGACTGCAGATTTCCTGGGTAGAGACTCAGTAATCTTCCGTAGTCTGGGAGGTCGCTCCACCATGAGGACTGAGACGGACCAGAGACTGCTGCATGGTACAATAACTGTACTGTACTCACCACCCACACTGAATACACACCTCAAACCAATACCCACCTATTCTATATCACTTGGTTCTTACAGCTTCTATAGACACTACTTTTTTCATCTTTATTTTTCTTTCTCACTGACTCCCCGCTCTCTCTCCTTACCTCTCTCCAGATCCTAAGTTTGTTGCGGCCCACCTCATCCCTGATAATGATGATCGTGACAATGACAAGGTGTACTTCTTCTTCACGGAGAAGGCCATGGAGGCCGGGAACAGAGAGGGGGCCATCCACACCCGCGTAGGACGAGTGTGTGCGGTAAGAGAAGTATACATACAGTTACACTTAACTCATCCCACAGACAAACCCTGTGTTGGTTCAGTTAAGCTAACAGGTTACGTGAAGCCAAGGTGAATCTGGATCTGTGGAAAGCTCTCTCATTGACTCCAACACTGACACTGGTGGCTTCTATCCTCGCTTCGAGGCAAGTAACACTGAACCATGCATGAGAGCACCAGCTGTTCTGGTTGACTGTGTGATCACGCTCTCCGTAACCGATGTAAGTAAGACCTTTAAACAGGTTAACATTTATAAAGCCACAGGGCCAGAGCATGCGCTGACCAGCTGGCAAGTGTCTTAACTGACATTTTCAACCTCTACCTGACCCAGTCTGTAATACCTACATGTTTCAAGCAGACCACCATAGTCCCTGTGCCCAAGAACATCAAGGTAACCTGTCTAAATGACTATCGCCCCGTAGCACTCACATATGTAGCCATGAAATGCTTTGAAAGGCTGGTCATGGCTCACATCAACACCATCATCCCAGACACCCTGGACCCACTCCAAATCGCATACTGCCCCAACAGATCCACAGATGACGCAATCTCTATTGCACTCCACACTGCCCTTGCCCAAATGGACAAAATAAAGTCCTACGTGAGAATGCTGTTTATTGACTACAGCTCAGCGTTCAACACCATAGTGCCCTCCAAGCTCATCACTAAGCTAAGGACCCTGGGACTGAACACCTTCTGCAACTGGATCCTGGACTTCCTGACGGGCCACTCCCAGGTGGAGAGGGTTGGCAACAACACATCCGCCACGCTGACCCTCAACACGGGAGCCCCTCAGGGGTGCGTGCTTAGTCCCCTCCTGTACTGTCTGTTCACCAGAGACTGCGTGGCTGCGGCCGACTCCAACACCATCATTAAGTTTGCCTACTACTGACAACGGTAGTAGGCCTGATCACCGATGATGATGAGGCTTATAGGGAGGAGGTCAGAGACCTGGCAGTGTGGTGCCAGGACAACAACCTCTCCCTCAACGTCAGCAAGACAAAGGAGCTGATCGTGGACTACAGGAAACGGAGGGCCGAGCATGCCCCCATTCATATCGACAGGGCTGTAGTGGAGTGGGTCGAGAGCTTGAAGTTCCTTGGGGTCTACATCACTAAGGACCTATCATGGTCCTGCTACGTTCCCCAGCTAGAAAACCAAATAATGTCACTCAAACAGAAGGGGGAACTAACAAAGAGTCACTGACAACAACTACACAAAACAGGTGTGGTTTTAGCAGGGGTTCTGTAAGACACTCATGGGTGTGTCCACTGAAAGTTGACTAGTAACAACAACTGGAACCTAAAAGACACCCACCATGAGCGCCCACTAAATGTGCCTAAGAAGAGGCAAACAAAAGAAAAACCCCACACCAACTCAAAGACAGGAAGCAAACCAAAAAGGTGGAGCAAAATGAAATCAGACAAAGGAATGTTTAAAAAATAATCAAAATATGGAGCGCCGACTAAAGGTGTTAACCCTCCGCATTTATCAAGACAACTGGAGCACTGGGCCAGCCACTCTTAAATAGCACCTGGGCCAGCACAGGTGAAACGCCTTCACACTAACGAGATGGCAACCAGCACAGGGGTAACACATACTGACTGACGAGGTGATACCAATGGTGCGCCCTACGTGCTAACGAGCTATACGTGCTAAAGTCCAACCTCAAAACATAAATTGAAAAACCAAAGCCTGTAACAGTCCAAACACACTAACACAGTCGTGAAGAAGGCACGACAACGCCTCTTCCCCCTCATGAGTCTGAAAATATTTGTCATGGGCCCTCAGACCCTCAAAAAGTTATACAGCTGCACTATGGCAACTGCTTGGCATCTGACCGTAAGGCGCTACAGAGGGTAGTGCGTATGGCCCAGTACATCACTGGGGCTGAGCTCCGTGCCATCCAGGACCTCTACACCAGGCTTCTACCAAGCTATAAGACAGCTGAACAGTTAATCAAATGTCTACCCGGACTATTTGCATTGACCCCCTTTTTCTTCCCCACTGACCCTCTTGCACTGGCTCTATGTACTGGACTCTACCCACACACTCACACATACTACACTGAAACTCCAACACACACACACACACCACACACACATGCATATTGATGCCACACACAGACACACTTTCACACTCTTCACTTACGCTGCTGCTACTCTGTTTATTATCTATCCTGATTGCCTAGTCACTTTTACCCCTACCTACATGTAGATATTACCTCAACTACCTCGTACCCCTGCACATTGACTCGGTACCGGTACTCCTTGTATACAGCCTTGTTATTTTAATTTTATTGTTACTATTTTCATTTTGAAATTTTCCCTTACTTTTTAACTCTGTATTGTTGGGAAAGGGCTCGTAAGTAAGCATTTCACGGTAAAGCCTACACCTGTTGTATTCGGTGCATGTGACAAATACATTTTGATTTGATAGTTCACTCTCCAGGACCCCCCAGGTCAGTTGAGTCTTCACCCCATCTTAGACCACATCATGATCTGGGGCTTGGGAACTGGATCATGGCTCTGAGTTATTTCCACAGTGGGGCTTCAGCCCTGACATAGTGAGAGTTTAACGTTTAGTTACGGGGAGATGTGCTTATAATGGTTTAGCCAGGCCACAGAGACAAGCGTTTGGTGGGCGGGCTGGAGAGTGCTTGGTGTCTTTCTTTCTCCACACACACACACAGCTGTTGGATGTGCTCTGGTATGAGCGTCAAAGTGTGCATACCTCCAATCTCTCTCACACAGTCGTACATCCCTTCTGACACACACTCACACACACACAACACAGCTGACTACAGGTTTCCACAAGAGACTCGCATTCTGCTTTAGAGTCTAGGCAATTTATAGTATAACATTCCTATGCTCACACTTACAAGTATATGGTTCTCACACACACAAACACACAGTCCCCACAGTCCCCCCCAAATCTCTCTCCATACATATAGTGTATTTATTCCTGTATATCCCTCCCCAAGGCGTTGTTAAACACTGCCTGTTATTATCAGTTCCACCAGAACAGGACCACATCCTGCCAAGAAAGCAATGATCTGATCCCAGACAGCTTACACAGTCCTGGTGTCTATTAAACGACCCTGTCTGTCTGTACGCTGCCTGTATGCTAGCTCTACAACAATACACTGTAATACAGTACGGAGGAGAAGAAAAGCTCATATGATTACATCTCCATAACCCGTGCTCTCTGTCTCCCCAGTGTCCAGTGCATGGTTATAGAAGAGTTTACTAGACAACTTTCCCACGGGAGAGGACAGACAGAGTTAGTTAGCTATGTACTTCTATGCTCGCTTGTGTTTTTGCATGAATGTATACTACAGGTAGTCTGCTGCCGTATAGATAATGGTTATTCTTTGTTTGGGTGTAACTGATAAACTCTGTTTGTCTCGTGTTGACAATTATACTGTATGTCTAGTCAGTGTGAGCCATCTCTTCCTCTCTCCCTCCCTCCCCCTTTTGGATAGTGTGTGTGTTGTCTGTATGATTGAGATGTGATGGGGGTGATGATGGTGGTGGTGTGTTGTCTGTATGATTGAGATGTGATGGTGGTGGTGTGTTGTCTGTATGATTGAGATGTGATGGTGGTGGTGGTGTGTTGTCTGTATGATTGAGATGTGATGGTGGTGGTGGTGTGTTGTCTGTATGATTGAGATGTTATAGTGATGGTGGTGATGATGGTGGTGGTGTGTTTGTATGATTGCGATGTTATGGTGATTATGATGGTGGTGGTGGTGATGGTGGTGGTGTGTTGTCTGTATGATTGAGATGTGATGGGGGTGATGATGGTGGTGGTGTGTTGTCTGTATGATTGAGATATGATGGTGGTGGTGGTGTGTTGTCTGTATGATTGAGATGTGATGGGGGTGGTGGTGTGTTGTCTGTATGATTGAGATGTGATGGGGGTGATGATGGTGGTGGTGTGTTGTCTGTATGATTGAGATGTGATGGTGGTGGTAGTGTGTTGTCTGTATGATTGAGATGTGATGGTGGTGGTGGTGTGTTGTCTGTATGATTGAGATGTGATGGTGGTGGTGGTGTGTTGTCTGTATGATTGAGATGTTATAGTGATGGTGGTGATGATGGTGGTGGTGTGTTTGTATGATTGCGATGTTATGGTGATTATGGTGGTGGTGGTGGTGGTGATGGTGGTGGTGTGTTGTCTGTATGATTGAGATGTGATGGGGGTGATGATGGTGGTGGTGTGTTGTCTGTGTCCTCTATAGAATGATGCAGGTGGACAGAGAGTTCTGGTGAATAAATGGAGCACCTTCATCAAGGCCAGACTGGTGTGTTCTGTACCTGGGCCTCATGGCATCGACACACACTTCGACGAGCTGGGTGAGACACACACACACACAAATCATTTATGCTCGCAGGCACAAAACCTGAGCACATTCACAAAATTACTCAATAACTCTTCTATTTTGTATCACAGAGGATGTTTTCCTGCTCAGAGGCAAGGATGAGAAGAACCCAGATGTTTATGCCATCTTCAGCACCATCAGGTGAGCTCCACACATGGTTACACACGTCCATATCTCCGTCTATGAATTTGACAGTGGTTATATTTCTCCAGCCCCATCCCTCGGCTGTTTACCAAAACAAGTGGCAAGCGGCAATGTTGTTTTTCAAATCCCAGTATGTAGCTTTAACATGTACTATGGAGGAACCAAACCCTCAGTCACTAACATTAAACGTTCCTCTCTCCCCTAGTAATGTGTTCCAAGGCTTTGCAGTGTGTGTGTACCGTATGGCAGACATCAGAGAAGCCTTCAACGGGCCGTTTGCACACAAGGAGGGACCTGACTACCAGTGGGGGGCTTACGAGGGCAGAGTGCCCTATCCAAGACCTGGGGTGGTGAGTAGTACCGTACAGTCCCATACTGCAGGCGACCATGCCATATCTAGATACTAATACTTTGTTTCAGCCTCCTTGTCAGCCTGCTTGTGTGAGCGAGATCAGGTGATCAAACTGGGGCGAGGGAGAGAGAGAAAGAGAGAGGGAGCTAGAAAGAGAGAGAAATAGACAGAGAGAGAGACTGTGGCATGGAGGAGAGACTGTGAAACAAGTCATTCAAGTAAGATGGGGAGAAGTCTGTCCATAATAAAGCGCTGCTCTAGCTTTTTAACAGCACTATCAACAAGGCAGGTCCTACAGGCTCTAGTTTTGTCGCACCTGGACTACTGTTCAGTCGTGTGGTCAGGTGCCACAAAGAGGGACTTAGGAAAATTGCAATTAGCTCAGAACAGAGCAGCACGGCTGGCCCTTGGATGTACACAGAGAGCAAACATTAATAATATGCATGTCAATCTCTCCTGGCTCAAAGTGGAGGAGAGATTGACTTCATCACTACTTGTATTTGTGAGAGGTATTGACATGTTGAAAGCACCGAGCTGTCTATTTAAATGACTATCCACCAGAGGTCTCTTCACAGTCCCCAAGTCCAGAACAGACTATGGGAGGCACACAGTACTACACAGAGCCATGGCTACATGGAACTCTATTCCACATCAGGTAACTGATAGGCACAGACACATGCATACACACACAATAACATACATACTATACACACACGTACAGATGGATCTTGTGTTGTAGATATGTGGTAGTGGAGTAGGGGCCTGAGGCACACACTTAGTGTGTTGTGAAATCTGTTTTGAATGTATTGTAATGTTTTTAACATTTTGCCGGACCCCAGGAAGAGTTAAATGGGGATCCATAATAAATCAAAATACAAGTCATTCAGGGGCACCCCTGTAAAATTAACACCAATTGGTGTAAAAATTGTTTGTTTCAATCTCTATGTTTTTGCAACTAAATTGATCTATTAATTCATCTAATGCTACTCAAATATAAATAATATACACTACCGTTCAAAAGTTTGGGGTCACTTAGAAATGTCCTTGTTTTTGATAGAAAAGCAATTTTTTTGGCTATTAAAATAACATCAAATTGATCAGAAATACAGTGTAGACATTGTTCATGTTATAAATGGCTATTGTAGCTGGAAACGGCTGATTTTTAATGGAATATCTACATAGGCGTACAGAGGCCCATTATCAGCAACCATCAGTCCTGTGTTCCAATGGCACGTTGTGTTTGCTAATCCAAGTTTATCGTTTTAAAAGGCTAATTGATCATTAAAAAAACTTTTGCTATTATGTTAGCACAGCTGAAAACTGTTGTGCTGATTAAAGAAGCAATAAAACTGGCCTTCTTGAGACTAGTTGAGTATCTGGAGCATCAGCAATTGTGGGTTCGATTACAGGCTCAAAATGGCCAGAAACAAATAATTTTCTTCTGAAACTCGTCAGTCTATTCTTGTTCTGAGAAATGAAGGCTATTCCATGTGAGAAATTGCGAAGAAACTGAAGATCTTGTACAACGCTGTAAACTACTCCCTTCACAGAACAGCGCAAACTGGCTCTAACCAGAATAGAAAGAGGAGTGGGAGGCCCCGGTGCACAACTAAGCAAGAGGACAAATACATTAGTGTCTAGTTTGAGAAACAGACACCTCACAGGTCCTCAACTGGCAGCTTCATTAAATAGTACCCGCAAAACACCAGTCTCAAACTTTTGAACGGTATATTTATCTAAACTAATCCAATCCGTTACTTGGACTTATTGCACCTAAATTTGAAGTTGGAAGTTTACATACACTTCGGTTGGAGTCATTAAAACTCATTTTTCAACCACTCCACAAAATTCTTGTTAACAAACTATAGTTTTGGCAAGTCGGTTAGGACATCTACTTTGTGCATGACACAAGTAATTTTTCCAACAATTGTTTACAGACAGATTGTTTCACTTATAATTCACTGTATCACAATGCCAGTGGGTTAGAAGTTTACATACACTAAGTTGACTGTGCCTTTAAACAGCTTGAAAAATTCCAGAAAATGATGTAATGGCTTTAGAAGCTTCTGATAGGCTAATTGACATCATTTGAGTCAATTGGAGGTATACCTGTGGATGTATTTCAAGGCCTACCTTCATACTTAGTGCCTCTTTGCTTGACATCATGGGAAAATCAAAAGAAATCAGCCAAGACCTCAGAAAAGAAATTGTAGACCTCCACAAGTCTGGTTCATCCTTGGGAGCAATTTCCAAACGCCTGAAGGTACATCTGTACAAACAATAGTACGCAAGTATAAACACCATGGGACCACGCAGCCGTCATACCGCTCAGGAAGGAGACATCTCTGTCTCCTAGAGATGAATGTACTTCGGTGCGAAAAGTGCAAATGAATCCCAGAACAACAGCAAAGGACCTTGTGAAGATGCTGGAGGAAACAGGTACAAAAGTATCTATATCCACAGTAAAACAAGTCCTATATTGACATAACCTGAAAGGCCGCTCAGCAAGGAAGAAGCCACTGCTCCAAAACCGCCATAAAAAAGCCAGACTACGGTTTGCAACTACACATGGGGAAAAATATCGTTATTTTTGGAGAAATGTCCTCTGGTCTGATGAAACAAAAATATAACTGTTTGGCATTAATGACCATCGTTATGTTTGGAGGAAAAAGGGGGATGCTTGCAAGCCGATGAACACCATCCCAACCGTGAAGCACGGGGGTGGCAGCATCATGCTGTGGGGGTGCTTTGCTGCAGGAGGGACTGGTGCACTTCACTAAATAGATGGCATCATGAGGAAGGAAAATGATGTGGATATATTGAAGCAACATCTCAAGACATCAGTCAGGAAGTTAAAGCTTGGTCGCGAATGGGTCTTCCAAATGGACAATGACCCCAAGCATACTTCCAAAGTTGTGGCAAAATGGCTTAAGGACGACAAAGTCAAAGTATTGGAGTGGCCATTACAAAGCCCTGACCTAAATCCTATAGAAAATGTGTGGGCAGAACTGAGGAATGGGCCAAATATCACCCAACTTATTGTGGGAAGCTTGTGGAAGGCTACCCAAAATGTTTGACCCAAGTTAAACAATTTAAAGGCAATATTACCAAATACTAATTGAGTGTATGTAAACTTCTGAAGTAAAGAAATAAAAGCTGAAATAAATCATTCTCTCTACTATTATTCTGACATTTCACATTCTTAAAATAAAGTGGTGACCTGAGACAGGGAATTTCTACTAGGATTAAATGTCAGAAATTGTGAAAAACTGAGTTTAAATGTATTTGGTGGTGTATGTAAACTTCAGACTTCAATTGTGTTACTGAAATGGTTGTTACAGTTTAAGTGGTTAGGTAGTCTCATATACTGTATTAGTCTTCCCATCCTGGCAGTCATTCTGAAAAATTCTAAATGTTGGATATCCCCACTCTGGCTGGATTACAATAGGAAATACACATCATAATGTGACTTGCAGGCCTGAAAACCATGAGTTTTAGGCCACTTTATTAGGGTAAAACCAGGCCCTCAACATAAGGCCTTATTAAATACGTTGTACGTTGTATTGTGTTAAAGAATGTAATGTTAATGATAACATATTCGCTTAGGATCTCACTTGGTGAAGGTCACAGGTCTAAAAATCGATGAATGCAACAACCATGTGTCTATCACAAAAAAATAGTCATGGATAGTAACTACAATTCACTAGAAGGTCAAGGCACTCTAGGAAATATGCAAATAAGGATTTACACTAAGCATTGTGTTAATTTAACACTGAAAAGTGTGGAACCGTATAGACACTGGAGAATTTGCTGTGTACATGCTCCTACACTAATACTAATACATATGCTGGGGGAATCTGCTACAGTTTGCTCATTCCTGAGGTTCACCAATGTACACACTCTTAAGCAATAGACACCCTAAATTACTAGATCAGTATTTACAGTAGCTGACTGGCTTGAATCTGTGTGCGTCCCAAAATGGCACCATATTCCCTATATAGTACACTACTTTTGACCAGGGTCCATAGGGAATAGGGTGCCATTTTGGAAGCATTCCTCTGTTTGGCACTGTGGAGACATTTGGCTGTCATCTTCTCCCTCAGAGATCACCTCAGCTGTGCTGTATCTGCAAGCTATTGTGTAATTGCGCAATTTTCTGATTTAGTGCTCAGGCGGTGTGCATAGTTTTCACGCCCATAATGGGAGTAGATAAGCAAAAAAAAACTCCATTCCCCTCCTCTCTTTCTCACTCGTTTTCACTTACTGTAGCGTTTTCCAGTGATTGCGAGCGGGTTGGTCATATATCCGAGTTGGGATCAGTTCCTCATGAATTCCAGTCAATTCAGGAAATTAAATAGACTTCGATTGCAGTACCGGTGCGTGGGTAAAATCACTGGGGAAGCCAGAAAACCCCCAACATATTACAACCTATGTGTTGTGATAATTGTGTTGTTTGCTCTATAACCTGTGAGTTGATATGCCTTGCAACCGTGATATATAGGCCTAAAGGCTGAGACAATAAGAAGACACAGTGGCAGAATAAATTCAATCACACCTTTATTTCATCACAAAACCGGAGAGCAACCTCTATTCAGTGAAGTCCACAAAGCATATTGCATGTAACAAACAGTTACATGACCTACAGCATGGTCAAGCAAGTTAATGTTTCCAACATTTTTGGACCACTAAACAACTATTGATTTAGAACCACAGAGAGTTACCGCAAGTTGCAAAGAAAACAGGAGCTACCTCCACTATTCGAGCACCATTTCAACATTATCAAATCACCTTTGCTTAGTCTAATACAGTAACAACTAAAAGATACTAAAAACAATTTAGTCCAATCAACGTAAGCTAAATATGATGTGGCTGTTCATGTTTCTGATTTCTGTGTGCGTGTTTGTGTATGTGTGCGTGCGCGTTCGTGCAAGTAGAAAAAACATGTTGACTCACCCTACTTGTAGAGAAACGCCAATGCCATCCTCCTCTCTTTCATGTTGACGAAACAGTCTATTACTTTGTCATAAAGTACACGCTTTTATTTTTTATTGTCCTAGGCTACCTGGCTAAAATGCTTGCTAGCTAGCCTAACTTCCTTTCATTGGCAACGTTAGCTAGTTAACATTAGCCTTAATATAATAATAATAATAGCCTTCTACATCTAGGGGAAAGTGGGGGAAAAAAGTATTTAGTCAGCCATCAATTGTGCAAGTTCTCCCACTTAAAAAGATGAGAGAGGCCTGTAATTTTCATCATAGGTACACGTCAACTATGACAGACAAAATGATGAAATAAAATCCAGAAAATCACATTGTAGGATTTTTAATGAATTTATTTGCAAATTATGGTGGAAAATAAGTATTTGGTCAATAACAAAAGTTTCTCAATACTTTGTTATATACCCTTTGTTGGCAATGACACAGGTCAAACGTTTTCTGTAAGTCTTCACAAGGTTTTCACACACTGTTGCTGGTATTTTGCTGGTATATTCTCCTCTAGAGCAGTGATGTTTTGGGGCTGTCGCTGGGCAACACAGACTTTCAACTCCCTCCAAAGATTTTCTATGGGGTTGAGATCTGGAGACTGGCTAGGCCACTCCAGGACCTTGAAATGCTTCTTACGAAGCCACTCCTTCGTTGCCCGGGCGGTATGTTTGGGATCATTGTCATGCTGAAAGACCCAGCCACGTTTCATCTTCAATGCCCTTGCTGATGGAAGGAGGTTTTCACTCAAAATCTCACGATACATGGCCCCATTCATTCTTTCCTTTACACGGATCAGTCGTCCTGGTCCCTTTGCAGAAAAACAGCCAAAGCATGATGTTTCCACCCCCATGCTTCACAGTAGGTATGGTGTTCTTTGGATGCAACTCAGCATTCTTTGTCCTCCAAACACGACGAGTTGAGCTTTCTATTTTGGTTTCATCTGACCATATGACATTCTCCCAATCCTCTTCTGGATCATCCAAATGCACTCTAGCAAACTTCAGACGGGCCTTGACATGTACTGGCTTAAGCAGGGGGACACGTCTGTCACTGCAGGATTTGAGTCCCTGGCGGCGTAGTGTGTTACTGATGGTAGGCTTTGTTACTTTGGTCCCAGCTCTCTGCAGGTCATTCACTAGGTCCCCCCGTGTGGTTCTGGGATTTTTGCTCACCGTTCTTGTGATCATTTTGACCCCACTGGGTGAGATCTTGCGTGGAGCCCCAGATCGAGGGAGATTATCAGTGGTCTTGTATCTCTTCCATTCCTAATAATTGCTCCCACAGTTGATTTCTTCCCACCAAGCATCAGCTTCCCAGCCTGGTGCAGGTCTTTAAGGTAACTAATAAGAGCTCCCCCTTATCCCCTCCTCCTCCTCATATTCCCCTGTGTATTTACAATCCAACCCTTTCACAATGTCTGAATGCGAATTAAAATACCATTTTCAATTTTAGCAGGTGGCCAACTCCCATTACCTCTTTGGAGATCTCAGTAAAAAGGGTGAGTAAATGTTAATTCTTTATCACAGTTGACATAAACTTTAAGAAAACATGCACGCACTGAAGCCAACACTATGATAAAACCTATAGCCTATACATTAGATTCACACTCATTATCTGGTTGTACTCGATCCCTTGCCGCACACAGCAAGCAATGTACGTGTTCTCCGGTGGTGTAAGCCGCTGAGGCTTCACAGGTTTGAGACGTATGGGAAGGCCTGTGCTGAGTGCTGCCTGGCCAGAGACCCCTACTGTGCCTGGGACGGCACATCCTGCACCCACTACACCTCGCTCAGCAAACGCCGCTACCGCCGCCAGGACATCAGGCACGGCAACCCGGCCCTGCAGTGTATGGACCAGAACCTCAGTGGTGAGAGAGGGGGAGATGGAGGGGAAGGGGTGGGAATGAAAAAGGAATTAATGTAAATGAATGACAAAGTGAAGATGATAGACTATGTGAGAAGGATATACAGTACGGAGACTCACAACATTCCAAGTGCCATTGTGGGAAAATAGGGCACTGTAATATCCTGTTGAGAAATGCTTATTACAATGGTGTGCATGACTGCGGGGTGAGGGGGGTGAGCTAGTCTGGCTGCCATGGTGGCCAAGCGGAAATTAACCCAGAGTATTTTCTGGTCAAACTCGTCCATTGAGAGGTATTAGACTCTGAGAAGTGAGGTAGGACAAACACTGGGACTGCATCGTAAATGGCACCCTAGCCCTACAGTTACCTGTCCAAAATGTTTATCAGGAACTTAATTTTTGGATTACCCAAACTCAGTAATGTAATCTGATTACTTTTGGATTACTTTCCCTTTAAAAGGCTAAGACAAAAAGGACCCATCAAACACATTTTTTATGTGTCATCATAGTGGTCTCTGATTTTTGGTCAGACTCGCGCAGGGGGAACAAAAGTAAACTTGCGCCTTTTTTCAATGCTGAATTGAATGTCATGGAGAAAACAGAAAGGTGTCATAATATATTTTTTCACAAACATCCTTTCTGAATTTAAAAGTTATCCAATAAGTAATCATCTAGCTTTTCAAAAGTATCTGTAAATCTGATTACAATATTTGTGCTGGTAACATAACTGATTACAGTTAGTTTTTTTTGTAAGCAGATTATACCCCGACCAGGGCTTTGGTCAAAAGTATAGTTCACTATATGCAGTTGAAGTCAGAAGTTTACATACACCTTAGCCAAATACATTTAAACTCAGTTTTTCACAATTCCTGACATTTAATCCTAGTAAATATTCCCTGTTTTAGGTCTTAAGAATGTGAAATGTCAGAATAATAGTAGAGAGAATGATTTATTTCAGCTTTTATTTCTTTCATCACATTCCCAGTGGGTCAGAAGTTTACATACACTCAATTAGTATTTGGTAGCATTGCCTTTAAATTGTTTAACTTGGGTCAAACGTTTCGGGTAGCCTTCCACAAGCTTCCCACAATACATTGGGTGAATTTTGGCCCATTCCTCCTGACAGAGATGGTGTAACTGAGTCAGGTTTGTAGGCCTCCTTGCTCGCACATGCTTTTTCCTCAGTTCTGCCCACACATTTTCTATAGAATTGAGGTCAGGGCTTTGTGATGGCCACTCCAATACCTTGACTTTGTTTTCCTTAAGCCATTTTGCCACAACTTTGGAAGTATGCTTGGGGTCATTGTCCATTTAGAAGACCCATTCGCGACCAAGCTTTAACTTCCTGACTGATGTCTTGAGATGTTGCTTCCATATATCCACATAATTTTCCTTCCTCATGATGCCATCTATTTTGTGAAGTGCACCAGTCCCTCCTGCAGCAAAGCACCCCCACAGCATGATGCTGCCAACCCCGTTCTTCACAGTTGGGATGGTGTTCTTCGGCTTGCAAGCCACCCCCTTTTTCCTCCAAACATAACGATGGTCATTAATGCCAAACTATTTTTGTTTCATCAGACCAGAGGTCTGTCCCCATGTGCAGTTGCAAACCGTAGTCTGGCTTTTTTATGATGGTTTTGGAGCAGTGGCTTCTTCCTTGCTGAGCGGCCTTTCAGGTTATGTCGATATAGGACTCGTTTTACTGTGGGTATAGATACTTTTGTACCTGTTTCCTCCAGCATCTTCACAAGGTCCTTTTCTGTTGTTCTGGGATTGATTTGCACTTTTCGCACCAAAGTACATTAATCTCTAGGAGACAGAAGGCGTTTCCTTCCTGAGCAGTATGACGGCTGCGTGGTCCCATGGGTTTTATACTTGCATACTATTGTGTGAACAGATGAACGTGGTACCTTCAGGCGTTTGGAAATTGCTCCCAAGAATGAACCAGACTTGTGGAGGTCTACAATTTTTTTTCTGAGATCTTGGCTGATTTCTTTTGATTTTCCCATGATGTCAAGCAAAGAGGTACTGAGTACTGAGGATACGAAGAGGTAGGACGCAGACACAGGAATCAACAATATAAAGGTTTACTTAACACTGAGCAAGAGAACAACAAAGCGCGAGGACATGACATGACACTAACAATCACACACAACACTGAACAGTCCAAGGCTATATAGGGGTGGTAATGAGATGATGAGGTGCAGGTGCGCTGGAGGTGATTAGGGTGCGTTGGGTTTCCATTCTGGTGTTGCCGAGATGGTGCGCTCAGACCGGTGGCTCAGTAGACCGGCGAATCAGAGCACCGGAGGGGAGCAACGGGAGGAGACATGACAATTATAAGTGAAATAATCTGTCTGTAAACAATTGTTGGAAAAATGACTTGTGTCATGCACAAAGTAGATGTCCTAACCGACTTGCCAAAACTATAGTTAGTGGTCCTCTGTAGCTCAGCTGGTAAAGAACAGCGCTTGTAACGCCAGGGTAGTGGGTTCGATCCCCTGGACCACCCATACACAAAAATGTATGCACGCATGACTGTAAGTCGCTTTGGATAAAAGCGTCTGCTAAATGGCATATTATTATTATATATTATTAACAAGAAATTTGTGGAGTGGTTGAAAAACAAGTTTTAATGACTCCAACCTAAGTGAATGTAAACTTCCGACTTCAACTGTATGTAATAGGGTGCCATGTGGACTGCAAGCTGGGTCTTTAGATAAATACATATAAATAGCATCTCTGATTTTGTCTTAGGGGAGAGCGAACAAGACATACACTGTAAACAATTTATAGGTTGGACGACCAAAGGCCAGTTTAAATAATGTGTAGTCAGGTCTAGAGGGAAGTTGTCATCTGACAGAACACAAGCTGTGTTTGACTGAGGCGTCATGTCCCTGTGTATAATGTGTATCCCTCTGTTGGGAGCCAGAGTGATAGCAACATGAAACACATGCTTTATCTTCAAACAACACACTTGTGTATATACTGTACACAGACATATACTGTAACACAGATGATCTCAAATATACACAAATTGTGCTGTATTTGGGTTCCTTGTCTGTGTCTTACAGGTATGAAAGATATGCTATGGTGCAGTTGAAATATACAGCATTACCGGTATATGTGTGTAAGAAATGACATCATACACAAGCCGTGGGCTGAATGAGACGGTCTTCATTTGAAGAACCTTTTAATTTAACAAGTAATGGAAACTAGATTATATTTATGGAGAAACTTCACTGAACCTTGGCACACCTGTGCTGAGAATAAGACAGATCCCTGTCAGTTTGTCATCGTGTGAGAGGGGAACAGAAGGGCAGAGAGAGGGGGAACAAAAGAAGGAAAGGTGTAGCAGTCAGAGGGTCGGAGAATGTGTTTTGCTCACCTGAAGGAGTGTGTGAGGGGTGTTGAAAGTTCTCTGCCAGGTCTAGGAGTTCCTTAGGGTTGGATTGCATTACACTGACATTGAATAAAGGCACTCAAAAAGGGAGATTTAGTGTCTACCATAGCTGAAGATGGCATGACCAAAGTCACAGGGCCTACTGAGACCACACCATACTCTGAAGATCACAATTCTAAGTGTACGTATTCTAATGTTGTGTCTGTTCTGTGTTACAGTGGAGGAGCTGGACATAACAGAAGACAGGGTTGTGTACGGAACAGAGAACAACAGCACCTTCCTGGAGTGTATACCCCGCTCCCCTCAGGCCACCGTTACATGGCTGGTCCAACGAGACGACCACAAGGAAGAGGTGAGATAGATGGATCAATGGGGGAGGGAGAGAGTGTGAGAGACAGAGGTGGAGGGATCACGAGCGTGTTGGAAAGAGATGGGGAGAAAGAGAGAGAATGTCTGATGGAGGATAGAGCAAGAGATGGAGCAATAAGAAGTATGTTATTTCCCTTCCCTTTTCCTCCCTCCCTCACCCTCCCTCCCTTTCTCCCTGCAGGTGAAGCTGGATGAGCGAGTGATGCGTATGGAGCAGGGCCTGCTGTTCCGCCGTGTGTTACGTCAGGACGAGGGCGTGTATGTGTGTCGCTCCCGTGAGCACGGCTTCACCCAGACCCTCACCCGCCTCTCCCTGGAGGTCCTGCAGGGGGACACACTGAGCGAGCTGCTGGCCCGTGACGACACCCACCTCGATGGTCCCCTGGGGGTGAAGGGGTACCGGTCCTGGCCTCCCTGCCATGCTTACAGGAGCACCAACCCCCTCAGCCACCCGCGCCCCTGGTTCAAGGACATCATGCAGCTGATCGGCCCGTCCAACCTGCCGCACGTGGAGGAGTACTGTGAGAGGATGTGGTGCAACGATAAGCTGCGGCGCAAACACAAGAGCATGCTGGACAAGTACCGGCAGGCGCAGGATAGCGCGCGCAAAGCCCGCAATAAGGGCTCCGGGGAACGCAACCGGACGCCGCGGGACGTCAGTAACCGACAGCCATAGAGGGGAGGGAGAAATGGATGGAGGGAGGAAAAAGAGAAGGACTGAGAGAAGGACTACATGACATGATGAATGAGAGAAGGAAGAGGTGGTAGTGATATGTATTGTAGGAGGAGAGATACTGCCAACAGGATGTAGTGTTAAGGGTGTGGAGGCAGAAGGGAGGAGAAGTGAGAGAGAGACAGGGACTCATGGCACTCATCAACTCTCATTTGCTTCATGAAAAAACCCTCAACTGTTTTCACCAAGGGACCCCTTCTCCTCTCCACGCACCCTTGCAATGTCAGTGACTCTGTATGACTATGGATTGACTGTACCATGCTGCAAATAGTGTGTGGGTTTGGACTGCTGCAACTGATCACCTTCAACCCCCCATTGCACTCATCTCTCTTAGGTCATTGAGCCCATTCCACATTACCCATTCTGTGACTGCTTCTGTGTCTTCACTCTGTACCCCTTAAAACTGCATTTCCAGAGCATTTGCCTTACCCTGCACCTCATCGTACCCTACACTGTAAAAATAAATAAAATAAATGTTATATGGTTCTCTTCATATACAGTAGAAAAGGTTATTTAAAGAACCCCAATGCACCGTTATTTTTTAGCAGTGTAATCCCATCACCCTGCAAGTCATTTACAACCGCACATTCTAGACACACACACACGCTTTTGAGCGAACATATAAGCACACTCACACAACCATCACTCAACCAGCCATAACAACACACAAGAGCATTGCTTTAACTGGAAGTTGTCATGAGACGATTGTTGATGGTTCAACAGAGAAAAGGCCTGTTTGTTGCTTTGTATTATCAGCTAGACTTCAGTTCCCACAATTCCTTTGTGTTGTAGGTGTACTTCTCACTCCTGACAAAGGAAGGAAAATAAAAAGGGTCACTGGCGCTGGCTGAATGTTCTGCTGGTGCTTTGTAAACACTGGTTCTTTATTTAAATACAGGATTTCTGTCTCTGTTGTTAAAATACAATGTTTCACTGACATACTTCACTGAAAGCTGTCCTTCCAAGTGCACTGGTTGTAGGGCTAGGTGGGGGAGTGAGAGCAATTATTAGCCTCCTGTCCTGTTGCTTTCTCTCCAAATATTGTTTCTGATCGTATGTTCTAAACCAACCAGATGTGACGGAGAGAGTGTTGCAGGGCTTAGTTCAAATAGACAAGAATGGGGAGTTGATGACTATTGATGATTCGATCACTGTAGGTATGCCCTTTCACAGGGAAGAGCCTAATTTAAATGTTTGCTGTATTTATGTCTTATTTAATGAGCTCTCTTGCATGCAGTGTAAGTGTATTTAACATATAAATACAGTTTTTTCCCCCCTAACCTAAACCTCTGACTGCATTTTCTTGCTGACTCCCATACACTTTCTGTGGGAGAGCTTCTGTGATGTTTTGTGTGGTGACGTTAAGGGACTAGGGTGTGGTGGGTTTTTGGTGTAGTAAGTTGTGGTCCCATGGGGTGGGGAATGGTTTAACAAGCCACTGAACACGCAGATTGGCACGTGTGTTTTTCTGTTGCTCATTAGAAAAACGAGACTTCAGTCTTGGAGGTGTGTTTCTGTCAGAGTGGTGTGTGTAGATGAGTGGAAGGAATCAAGCGCAGGAACCAGGATGACTTCAACCGTCTTTAGTAACGTTCAAAAAACACGTGAACAACAATAGTCGCCAACCCAACCGGGTGGCGCAAAACAATTACGCACAAAACACAGTGCGAAATATACAAGAACAGCGCACGTAGTGCGAACTCTCGGGACAAGCGACAACGAGAGAAATATACCATACAGAGGCAGTCTGACAATAAACAATTACGCATAACACCTGACCCAAACAAACGAAACTAAATAGGGGACATAATCAAACACAAACAAGGGACAGGTGTTACAAAGAGACAAAACCAAACGAACATGAAACATAGAACGGTGGCAGCTAGTACTCCGGAGACGACGACCGCCGAAGCCTGCCCGAACAAGGAAGAGGAGCAGCCTCGGCCGAAACCGTGACAGTACCCCCCCCTTGACGCGCGGCTCCAGCCGTGCGCCGACCCGGGGCTCGGGGACGACCCGGACGACGCGGAGCAGGGCGCGCAGGATGACCCCGATGGAACTCGGTCAGCAGGGACTGGTCCAATATGTCCCTCCTTGGCACCCAGCACCGCTCCTCCGGACCGTACCCCTCCCACTCCACGAGATATTGAAGACCCCCCATCCGGCGTCTCGAATCAAGGATGGACCTCACGGTGTACGCCGGAGCCCCCTCGATGTCCAACGGGGGTGGAGGAGTCTCCTCAATCTCAAAGTCCTGGAGTGGGCCAGCTACCACCGGCCTGAGGAGAGACACATGGAACGAGGGGTTAATATTCTTGTAATCAATAGGTAGTTCCAACCTGTAACTCACCTCGTTCAATCTCCTCAGGACTTTAAAGGGCCCCACAAACCGCCGACCCAGCTTCCGGCAGGGCAGGCGGAGGGGCAGGTTTCTGGTTGAGAGCCAGACTCGATCTCCAGGTGCGTACACTGGCCCCTCACTGCGGTGTAGGTCGGCGCTCGTCTTCTGTCGACGTATGGCACGCTGCAGATGGACGTGTGCAGCGTCCCACGTCTCCTCCGAGCGCCGCACCCACTCATCCACAGCGGGGGCCTCGATCTGGCTCTCATGCCATGGTGCCAGAACCGGCTGGTACCCTAATACACACTGAAAAGGGGTTAGTTGGGTGGAGGAGTGGCGCAGAGAGTTCTGTGCCATCTCGGCCCCAGGGCACATATCTCGCCCACTCCTCCGGCCGGCCCTGACAGTATGACCTCAGAAACCTACCCACATCCTGGTTCACACGTTCAACCTGCCCATTACTCTCCGGGTGGTAACCCGAGGTAAGGCTTACCGAAACCCCCAACCGTTCCATAAATGCTCTCCACACTCTGGAGGTGAACTGGGGGCCTCGGTCAGACACTATATCCTCGGGTACCCCGTAATGCCGGAAGACATGGGTGAACAGAGCCTCTGCGGTCTGTAGGGCAGTGGGTAGACCCGGCATGGGAAGGAGACGACAGGCCTTCGAGAACCGATCCACAACGACCAGGATGGTAGTATTCCCCTGTGAGGGGGGAAGGTCGGTAACAAAATCCACCGAGAGGTGGGACCAGGGTCGTTGTGGAATAGGCAGGGGTTGTAACTTACCCCTGGGCAAATGTCTGGGCGCCTTACACTGGGCACACACCGAACAGGAGGAGACATAAATCCTCACATCCCTAGCTAACGTTGGCCACCAGTACTTCGTGCTAAGGCAGTGCACTGTCCGGCCGATACCCGGATGGCCAGAGGAGGGGGACGTATGAGCCCAACAAATGAGGCGATCGCGTACCTCGAGCGGAACGTACGTCCGACCCACTGGACACTGTGGAGGACTCGGGTCGGTGCGTAACGCCCGCTCGATCTCGCCATCAACCTCCCACACCACCGGTGCAACCAGACAAGACTCTGGTAGTATGGGCGTGGGCTCAACGGACCTCTCCTCCGCGTCATACCGCCGAGACAGAGCATCTGCCTTCCCGTTCTGGGACCCAGGGATGTATGTGATCTTAAACACAAACCGGGCTAGAAACATAGTCCAGCGGGCCTGGCGAGGATTCAGTCTCCTAGCTGCCCGGATGTACTCCAGGTTACGATGGTCAGTTAGAATGAGGAAAGGGTGTTGAGCCCCCTCGAGCCAATGCCGCCACACCTTTAGGGCCTGTACCACGGCTAACAGCTCCCTGTCTCCTACGTCATAATTCCGCTCCGCCGGACTGAGCTTCTTTGAATAAAACGCACAGGGACGGAGTTTAGGTGGAGTGCCAGAACGCTGGGAAAGAACGGCCCCTATCCCGGCCTCTGACGCGTCCACCTCTACCTGGAACGGTAAAGAGGGATCTGGATGCGCCAACACCGGCGCCGAGGTAAACAGGTCCTTCAGTCTCCCAAATGCCCTGTCCGCCTCAGCTGACCACCGCAAGCGCACCGGACCCCCCTTTAACAGAGACGTTATGGGAGCTGCCACCTGTCCAAAACCCCGGATAAATCTCCGGTAATAATTCGCAAAACCCAAGAACTGTTGCACCTCCTTCACAGTGGTTGGGGTCTGCCAATTACGCACAGCTGACACCCGGTCTACCTCCATCTTCACCCCTGACGCAGACAACTGGTAACCCAGAAAGGAGACCGACTTCTGAAAAAACAGACATTTCTCTGCCTTGACATATAGGTCATGCTCCAACAGCCTCCTCAATACTCGGCGCACCAGGGCTACATGCTCTGCACGGGTAGGACTGTACACCAGAATGTCGTCGATGTACACAACTACTCCCTGTCCCTGCATGTCCCGGAAAATCTCATCGACGAAGGATTGGAAGACTGAGGGAGCATTCATTAACCCATATGGCATGACTAGATACTCGTAGTGTCCGGAAGTCGTGCTAAACGCTGTCTTCCATTCATCGCCCTCTCTAATGCGCACCAAGTTATATGCGCTCCTGAGATCCAATTTTGTAAAGAACTGCGCACCGTGCAGTGACTCCGTCATAGTCGCAATCAGAGGAAGTGGATAGCTGTACTTCACTGTGATCTGATTGAGACCGCGGTAATCAATACACGGGCGCAGACCTCCATCCTTTTTCTTCACAAAAAAGAAACTCGAGGAAGCGGGTGAAGTGGAGGCCCGTATGTATCCCTGTCTAAGAGACTCAGCGATGTACGTCTCCATTGCCTTCCTCTCCTCTTGAGACAAGGGATACACATGGCTCCGCGGGAGAGCTGCTCCTGACTGGAGATCTATCGCACAATCCCCCCGTCTATGAGGCGGCAGCTGCGCCGCCCTAGTCTTACTAAACACCAGTTTCAAATCCTCATACTCGGGGGGAATATGCAGTGCTGTCATTAGATTCGGACTTTCCACCGAGGTCGCCCCTATGGAAACACCCAGACACCGCCCCTCACACTGGGCAGACCACCC